GTGTCTGTTTCACCGTTATTATCAGGAGAACCATCATCCTGTGAAAATATGGATTCAAGTTATACTTCTGCACACTGGGCTTTGACAACCAGCTTTTAGTTCTGCTTAGATTGTTCTCTGGACTCATACTATCAGGCACAAACATGTTCCCCCACCCCTTCTGTCTAATACTCTCTTTTCAAACTCTGTCTATGAGGTTATACTCTGAGGATTTGTGATATAGCATATAGACCTTCTCCAGACACATAATAAGATTCAATAGAGCATGTTTGACAAATACAAAGAACAGATTGTACTCCCCATTTCTACAACTAGATGGGAGTGTTCTGCTCATTCCGACCGTCTCTTATTCAAATGTCTGTATAAACCTTAAAACGATTTCACTTTCTCAAACATGAAATGCTAAAGAATTACCATCAGGATACAAAAATGATCACAAATATTGCATCTGAACATGTGAGAAAAACATACAGTATAACCACAAGGACACACGGCTTCCAGTAGTCCACAATAAAAGGTCACATGACTCACGCGTGGATGACGACGCCAGAGTGAGGGGGGCGGGGGGAACAGGGGGGGCGGCGGGGGACTGAGGAGGCAGCATGGACTGAACCTCTTCTGCAGCGGCTCCTGTGACCTCAGCCCTGTGCGGGGAAGGAAAACACTTTAGAGACAGTAACTAGACCATAGACTGTGTTTACATGCAGAATCAATAATAATAATTATACATAGCTCTCATATAGAGCTTTTTTTGGATTGCTCAAAAAGACTTTTCTTGCATGTATTCGGGCTGGGATGATAGTACATATTGTGTATTGGGCCTGGGTGTTTCTGTGTGGAGTTTGCATGTTTCTATGTCTAGGAGGGTTTCCTCTGTGCGCTGCGGTTAATTAACCACTTTGAAGGCTTTGGCTGGTGCTGTCTTGGTGAAACTCAGAAGATTTGAGTATTGTACAAACTGTTACATATGAAACCAATATATGATATAGACTCGCTAAATGCAAAGTGCCTTTTGTTTGTTATCCTTTTGATGATCTTGCTTACAGTCCATTTTCAACATATTGTCATTTCCTGAGATGTTTTATTTATACAATACAAGAAAATATTTGCAATTTGCAGTAAAACCACATTGGAAAAACTGTGCAAGACTACCCCAGTGTAGACAACCCCAGTGAAACAACATAGAAATCTTCAATGTCATATTAAAAGCAGGGCTGCCCAAAGTGGGGTCTAATTTGATCTGATTTGGGGTCTGCCTCTGACTGTGTTACAAGAGTTTTTAAACTTAATGAACTGAAAAGGGATACATTTTGCACTGAAAAGGGAAAGGGGAGTCTGTTTGTCATTTCCCTCACAATGTATAGACTTGCTTTTTATGTAAAACACTGACAGGTTTGTTCCTTTGCTTGTTGATATGTTTGCATTTTGACCAATCAATCAAGTAAAAGGGTTGTACATCCCGGTGTTTGTGCTTTATGTTAGGTTGTATGAGAACCCCTTTTCATACTGTGTTTCTGTTCATCTTGTTGGTTTGTATTGAATATTTCCATGATTTGATTTTTATGAAACAAAACTATTTATGGAACTAGAATGAAATTGGAATAATAGTTACTAATGCAATGCAAGAATCAACAACCCCCTCTTCAAAAGACTGGGTAAAGTTCCAAAACTGCAATATTTCATGCATCAAATGAAGTGATTTCCACTGATACTGTATCTGTCTTTATGAATCAAAAACAATAGTGTACCATCCCAGGCCTATGTTCTTAAATGCATTTCTCTCCTTTATGCATATTAGGGAAAAACACGCTTCTAGTAAACTGTGCTGGCTGAAAATAGCAATAAAAATATTCTGATGAACATATAAAATAGTTTAAAACATGCAAAAGCAACACAAGCAACAGGGAAACAGTGTAAACTATCCAACCACATAAGCACATTTTCTCGACACGTAAAACCACTCGGGAGATTTGCTTATTCTATTTTTAGACGCTTGAGGCTTCTATTTTACATGCTTAGAATTAAATAAACCAGACACACTAAGATACACTTAGGTTTTCTCACACTGAGGACATGGCAGGGTAGAAACTCACAGTTCAAGAACACGAGGAAAAGAGCTCAAAAGTAAAAAGTGAAAAATGCTTAATATAAACTGAAAAAACTACAATATAATTTAGTTATTTATTTATGTAATTCAATTCAAATCTGAAACCGATGATTTAAAGTTATGATATTCTATGTGAGATATGCCAAGCCATTTTAAGTTATAATGTTGATGATTATAACTTACAGTCGATTGTCAAAATATCAAAATTTTGTAAGATGCATTTGGATTATTTTACAAGCCGTGAGCGATACTTATTGATATTATAACAATTAAAGGCTGGATGTATCTCACTTTGCATGTTATGAGTGTGCCATATATAAATTTTTCTCTTTGTAAGTTGAAGCAGAGTAAAGTAAATAGACTTTTTAGGCATATTCTAATTTTCAGACACATGCATTCTGACAGTACAAAAGTTCTATGTGAAAAGCCAGTGTTAAATCTGTCCTTACAACTCACACAGTCCAGCAGCATGCATTTCCCTTGGCCAAAAAAAAAAAAAATCACTGACATTAATTTCCGTGCACACACATCTCTATCTTACCTGCCGGGAAGAACGGAAAGCTGTCCAAAAAGGTGGAGGAGAGAACCGGACCAAAACAACAGCAGCAGCAGCACAAAAACACTGATAGTCCCAGAGGAAGCAGAGCCATGCTGCTGCAGGTGCTGGCTGAGGCTGTGTGAGCCACGAATGCATGCTCTCTCTGCTCCACGCTCTCCCCCCCTCTCCCCCCCTCTCCTCCCCTCTCTCTCTTGCATGTCTATACCACTAGTGCTGGGAAGAATACTTTGCACATGTATTTGGTTACAGACGGTGTTGAGGGGGCAAGTTCCAAAGTCTTTTTAGTGACTCATATGTGTTCTTTGGAATTTCATATCATGCAGGATTCAAGTTAGAATTTGTGGGTGATGTTCAATGTTCAATGTTGCATCACCGGTTACAGAACAGTAGCAATGAAGAGCACACAGCACAACCCTATGATAAAATAAGAAAAAATCTCTTTAGCATAATAAAGCAAGTATAAAGTCTCTCGTTGCATGACAAAGAAGCAAGGAGTTGTGAGTAATGTTGTCCAAGGTCACACAAAGTGACAGTACCAGTCTATGTCATTCACTCCACACACGGTGATGACAGAAGCGAGATGCCAAAACCCCAAATCATCACAATCCACACACTTTTGGTAGGTAAGTAAGTAATCTCTATAGCGTCTTTCACAGACCAGAGTCAAAAAAGCGTCATACAATTGTTGTGGGCATTTGTCTCCTGCTCCACACAGAGATGGGTGTGGGGTCTCTAGAACACACCTATTGTACGGAGATAACCTCTGTGTGATCCAGACCAAACCCAAAAGACTTTGTGCTGTGGTCGCATCAACAGGGGTTCTACAAAGTTTGAACTCTATTGTATATTGTTATTTATTCGTCTGTAACCAGGGACTGCAGATGGAAATTAGTTACCGATAGCTATAATGTGGTGCAGAACATATATCTGTCTCTTTGTCCCTTCAATAAAGATGAACTAACTCCTGCTATTGTTTGTTATGAAAATCCCACTTTTCAAGGTGTTCATTATACATTTGGTTCTATAACAAAATCATATAATTTTGTTCACTTTACAGGATTCTGTTATTTTGTTGTGGTTTTTCAGTAAATAAATACAAAATATCATCTTTCTGTTTGTGGTCAAAACATGACTGTGCCTGTACCGAGAAAACATATCCACAATATTGTTTTAGATTATAATTGTATTTAGGTAATTTATCTTCTCATGATATTCACAATACTGTTACTACAAACATGTCAGGAATACATTGCGGTATTTGTTTGTACAATTTCAACATTTGTCTGAATGCGGTCGTCTAATTAGACCATGCATCGACATTTGGTCATTTTTATTTTTTTTAAGAGAATAAAAAAACTAAAGAAAAGGAAAGACATACAACAACTTACACACTGATCCTTGAAAGGGAGTGGGGGGAAGTATATACCTTATTGAACCCCACCCCGATATCTGAGGATAAAGTAAATAATAGCTGCGTTCTTGTTCCATTATCAAACAATAGAGTAATAAAAGTAATGCTTCATTCGGAAATCAGATGAACGCGTTTATTTCTTCCAATACAGGCATCTAATCCTGAGGCAGGAGTATTTACTGATGAATATTTGCCCAGAAAGTAACATGTTATTAATACAAAGTTTGGAAAAGTTTATATAAAAGCTTGATTGATACTTTATTGATCTCCCGTAGGAGAAATTCAGGGTTTAAGTTAAGCAAATACATAAGCTGGTGTGTCCAACTTTCAAACCAGTAAAAACATATGAAATTAATTACAAGCATAATTTTGGCCTCTGTCACATGTCACTGAGACAATCATCTCAATAATGACTCACTGGGCTCTTTCTTACAATTATGCAAAAGACAACATGTTTTCTAATAAGATAAAAAAAAATACTTTTATAAGGGTCTTATTTTTTAGGGGAAAAGAAGTCAAGTACCTTTGCCCTAAATACATAAAGGCCAATTCATGCTCCATAAGAAACAAGAAATGTGCTCTTCCACCTGGAGCTTCTGTTTGGCAGTTCTTGCAGCTTGTTAGTGTTATGGTCCGGGTTAGGGATAGTCTAATGCTAACACTTGGAGGATAATGCATTTTTCCGAGATGTAAGAAGATCAAGATCGAGATTCTTTATTTGTCCCACTGTGGGGGAATTTCAGTGTTACATTGCAATGTGTGGCAAGAGCTCTGGTGTATACGATCCTGGTGCACACTGGGGTAGTAGTTTTGCACGGTTTTTCCTATGTAGTTTTACTGCAAATGGCTAAACAATTCTTGCATCTTGTGTGTGTGGAGAGAATGAGTGGCATACAACACAAGAAGGAAGAAGATGTAAGTTCATGAGCCTGAGGTGACAAGTTATGAAATAGTACGTTTTCCACGAGTACTTGTGCCACCTAGATACACCATAGATATATCAATACTTAGGTACACTCTTAATTTTGCATATATTAGATCATTCAATCCATACATTTTAATTATAGAGCACTTTACAACAATTAAAAAAAAAAAATCACATAAAATCAATTAAAACATTCATTGAATGTTTATTTGTATAAAAGCCTGTCGGTACAAATACTGTTCCTTGCGAAAGTATTCGGCCCCCTTGAACCTTTCAACATTTCGCCACATTTCAGGCTTCAAAGATATAAATTTTTTATTTTTTGTCATGAATCAACAAGTGGGACACAATCGTGAAGTGGAACGAAATTTATTGGATAATTTAAACTTTTTTAACAAATAAAAAACTGAAAAGTGGGGCGTGCAATATTATTCGGCCCCTTTACTTTTAGTGTTGCAAACTCACTCCAGAAGTTCAGAGAGGATCTTTGAATGATCCAATGTTGTCCTAAATGACTGATGATGATAAATAGAATGCACCTGTGTGTAATCAAGTCTCCGTATAAATGCACCTGCTCTTTGATAGTCTCAGGGTTCTGTTTAAAGCGCAGAGAGAACCATGAAGACAAAGGAACACACCAGGCAGGTCCGAGATATTGTTGTGGAGAAGTTTAAAGCCGGATTTGGATACAAAAAGATTTCCCAAGCTTTAAACATCTCAAGGAGCAATTATATTGAAATGGAAGGAGTATCAGACCACTGCAAATCTACCAAGACCCGGCCGTCCCTCCAAACTTTCATCTCAAACAAGGAGAAGACTGATCAGAGATGCAGCCAAGAGGCCCATGATCACTCTGGATGAACTGCAGATAACTACAGCTGAGGTTGGAGAGTCGGTCCATAGGACAACAATCAGTCGTGCACTGCACAAATCTGGCCTTTATGGAAGAGTGGCAAGAAGAAAGCCATTTCTCAAAGATATCCATAAAAAGTCTCGTTTAAAGTTTGCCACAAGCCACCTGGGAGACACTCCAAACATGTGGAAGAAGGTGCTCTGGTCAGATGAAACCAAAATCGAACTTTTTGGCCACAATGCAAAACGATATGTTTGGCGTAAAAGCAACACAGCTCATCACCCTGAACACACCATCCCCACTGTCAAACATGGTGGTGGCAGCATCATGGTTTGGGCCTGCTTTTCTTCAGCAGGGACAGGGAAGATGGCTAAAATTGATGGGAAGATGGATGGAGCCAAATACAGGACCATTCTGGAAGAAAACCTGTTGGAGTCTGCAAAAGACCTGAGACTGGGACGGAGATTTATCTTCCAACAGGACAATGATCCAAAACATAAAGCCAAATCTACAATGGAATGGTTCACAAATAGACGTATCCAGGTGTTAGAATGGCCAAGTCAAAGTCCAGACCTGAATCCAATCGAGAATCTGTGTAAAGAGCTGAAGACTGCTGTTCACAAACGCTCTCCATCCAACCTCACTGAGCTCGAGCTGTTTTGCAAGGAAGAATGGGCAAGAATTCCAGTCTCTCGATGTGCAAAACTGATAGACATACCCCAAGCGACTTGCAGCTGTAATTGCAGCAAAAGGTGGCGCTACAAAGTATTAGCACAAGGGGGCCGAATAATATTGCACGCCCCACTTTTAAGTTTTTTATTTGTTAAAAAAGTTTAAATTATCCAATAAATTTCGTTCCACTTCACGATTGTATCCCACTTGTTGTTGATTCTTGACAAAAAATTAAAATGTTATATCTTTATGTTTGAAGCTTGAAATGTGGCAAAATGTTGAAAGGTTCAAGGGGGCCGAATACTTTCACTGTACGTTTTGAGCCTCAATTTTAAAAAAGGCCTCTGTACATGATAAGTCTGGATCACTAAATGTTCCTGTGAGATCTGAAGAGTTGGGCTCAGAGGTTTGGGCTCAGAGGGTTGGGCTCAGAGGGTTAGGCTCAGAGGGTTGGGCTCAGAGGGTTGGGCTCAGAGGTTTGGGCTCAGAGGGTTAGGCTCAGAGAGTTGGGCTCAGAGGGTTGGGCTCAGAGGGTTGGGCTCAGAGGGTTGGGCTCAGAGGGTTGGGCTCAGAGGGTTAGGCTCAGAGGGTTGGGCTCAGAGGGTTGGGCTCAGAGGGTTGGGCTCAGAGGGTTGGGCTCAGAGAGTTGGGCTCAGAGGGTTGGGCTCAGAGGGTTGGGCTCAGAGAGTTGGGCTCAGAGGGTTGGGCTCAGAGAGTTGGGCTCAGAGAGTTGGGCTCAGAGGGTTGGGCTCAGAGGGTTGGGCTCAGAGGGTTGGGCTCAGAGGGTTGGGCTCAGAGAGTTGGGCTCAGAGAGTTGGGCTCAGAGGGTTGGGCTCAGAGGGTTGGGCTCAGAGGGTTAGGCTCAGCGGGTTGGGCTCAGAGGGTTGGGCTCAGAGGGTTGGGCTCAGAGGGTTGGGCTCAGAGAGTTGGGCTCAGAGGGTTGGGCTCAGAGGGTTGGGCTCAGAGGGTTAGGCTCAGAGGGTTAGGCTCAGAGGGTTGGTCTCGGCCACTGCCCCATTAAACCTTTCCTCCGCATCAGGTCAAGCTAAATATACAGCGGACCCTCTGCCAGCTGCTCCGGGAGCCAAAATTAGACACTACTACTGCAGGGGTCTTATTGTTCCACTATAGTCCCGCGGCACGGGGCCAAACGCAGCCTCAGTCACTCTCATGTTTCCCTCTCCAGATCGCTGTTGTACAAGAAAATACATTTGTGAGTGATTAATTGGGAGCATAATGCATTCTCCTGTGCACAGTGATTTCCATTTAGAGAATGCCAAACGACTTTTATTGCTCAGTCTGCCCGCCATAATGAAATGGCTTCGTTAATTCAAGTCTTGAGGACAGAGATACTTGAAAGTGCATGTGACAAGGTGGACAACTCATTTATCTATATGTTTTTAAAAAATATGTTTGATGTCTATAGCTATCAATTACACTATATTTAAGATTTCACTGAACATCTTGTCTTTTATGAGAAATTTGCTGTGGCTTGATGTGCTACACAGATCTGCATGAATGAATACATTTACATAGTAACATTACAGGAAAAGAAAACATAACAAGAAAGTGCAAGAGTGCTTTGAAATCTCTGGTCCAATTCTGCGTCAAAATAAAACATGGGTTCTGGATAAAAAAATATTTTATCAATAGTTTATACAGTTTTAGAATGTATTCATTAGTATTTTTTTTTATTTTTTTTAAAGTGCCACTGAAGTTGGGAAAAGGAGAGTTTGAAGAGGTTTGTCTCGTATTCCCTGTGCAGGACGTTCTTTTGACAGTTACTTTACTGCTACAATCTTACTTCTGAAGAACTTCTAATACACAGTTATACATTGACAATTATCAATGTGACAATAACATTGTTTTTCAATTATATCCAGGCTGTGATATATATAGATATACCCTAAATAAGATCATTCAAATTAGCAATATCATTGGAGAGCAGCAAGACTCACTCAAGTGAATCTACAATAACAGAATTTTGAGGAAAGGCTCCCAGATCTCCTCAGACATCTCTCTCACTCTGCTCTGACACTACAGTCTGCTTCCTCCACACCTCATTCCGCCTTTTAAACAGCTGACTGGGGAACGGTCTGTTTCGGCTGAAGCAGTTTATAATCTGATTTATGTATTTTATACTTTTACTATATTAGTATTTTATATAGATAAACCTCTTTCCCCAAGGGCACAAATTAACTCTATTCTACAAATGAGTTGATACTTTCTGCATAGTGTGTAACCAACTTCAAATAAAAAGCTCAAAATGAACTCACATTCAGTTAATCAGCTGTATATGTTTTTATACTAAATAAACCTTGCTTAAACATGAGTGAGTACATAGATTAGCAGCACTGTTCCCAAGTAGACAATGATATGAGAAAAAGAAGCAATTAAAGTTTTTTATTGTTAAATAATTACAAAACTACATGTGATTACAAATGGGATGGGAAATGGGATTACAAAAAAATAGATGATATTTGTTGGTGGCAAACTGGTCTCGATCTAGAGGTTGGAGCGTGTGAGCCAAGGAAACTCCTGAAAACACAAAATAAAAACAAATCAATTAGATCTCACTTCAAATTAATGACCCCTCTGACTGACCAATCGAGTGGGACCTGGGGGTGACATCACAGCTGGTATATATGGGGTTGCCGCTCACTGTGAGGTCTGGCTGAAAAACATAGAACCTCTCTCTCTTTCTCCCTCTCTCTCTCTCCACCTTGAGACTTTATGCGTGTGTATAGTTTATTTTCTGTTATGTCTGTATGTGCTGTATCTTGCAACGGTTTAGTGCCCTTAAATGTCCTCTTTAATATCAATTTGGCTTTTGCCTTTTATGTGAAGCAAAAACTAGATTTTCGTTATAACAGACATTATAGGGCTTCTTCCAGCGCCTGGAACATGTTGGCGAGCGGTTGCATGGAGACACACACAACAAAGAGGGCCATGCGTTCTAATTATGGGGCTCTGAAATGGAAAGGTCAGGTTTAAACAAGGAGGGGGATTGTAATGCGGTTTACCTTGACCGTATGCATTACTATAGCAATCAAACAAGGCTTCAATCTATGAACATTTCACTGTGCGATTGAGGGAATAAGATTAAATTAAATTAAATCAAATGTATTCTTGGCCTAAATCACAACAGCAGTTATCTCGGAGATATAACTACTATAAGGGGGTTTCGGGATGTTGTATACAGTTGATATAATTACATGTAAATGCAACAGACGCACTGGTACATAACACAATACAGTAACAGAAAATCAGTGGGAGACCAGAGCTGGGACATGCATCAAAACATGTTTAATGGCAACTGTTTTATTCTTTATCAATTACTGTGAAATCATATGTTTCCACTGTAAAAATAAAATATGAAAATGAAATTGAACTTCTGACTTTGTGGAACGTAATGTGGAAATAATTGAGGGGAATTTAAATTTCAATATCATGGCATTGAATCATATAGGTAACAGGAAATCACAAATTAAGAATTTCCCTTGTGCATATGGTGCAAAGATGAACAAGTAAATAATAGATCCTAAAAACACCTTGCTTTGGATTATTTTGGCTCTGTGTGTTTTTTATCATTGCATTTCTTGTGTTTGAACAGTTTGATTCTCTGATCTGTGTTGGCAAATTTGATGGTTTTGTAAAGTCCTCTAAAATAACCAGTGTTGTGATTTAGGGCTATACAAGAATACATTGAATTGAATTGAATTGATTAGTTATTGTTGGCCTCTGTCACATTTTTATATCAGCTTTTTCACACTGAAAAGTGAAAAAAGAGGATTCTCTTTACTCGGCCAATGAGTTCTCAGCCTAAAGCACACACATGGCTCCTTCTAACAAGTATGCAAAAGAATATACATACTTGTAGTGATAGAACCAAACTGTTTTTTGAGAGCTAGGAAGTAGTTAGATGGATTTTAATACAGAGTAAACATTGTTGTGAAAATTAGGTACCCCAGCTTTAATTAACATTTCTAGTTGATACAATGATACAAGAAACAACCACTATCTCCCCCCACGGGTAAGGACAGCACTGCTTCTAAAAGTGTGATGAAAGGAGACCTGTTGCTTCCTGTCCGAGGCGGGGTCGATGAGCACGTTGAGCAGACAGGGCCTCTCCTCTCGCAGACTCAGCTCCACGGCGCTCCGCAGCTCCTCCACGGTCCTGACCAGGAAGCCACGCCCTCCGAAGGCCGCCATGACCTCATCGTATCGCGCCTCAGGGAGCAGCGTGACCGGTGGTGCTCTGTTGTAGGTACAGAGAGGAGAAACATATAAGAGTTCAGACCACTATCACTTAAGGGTATGTTTTACAGAGTTCAACATAACAGTATTTACTTAGGATTTTTTTTAGAATGTGAAACAATTTCCTAAAATATAAGAATAAAAAGTTATTAATTAAGGCTGGGACACCAAACTTTCAAAGCACAAACGTTTGACTCTAAAATCCATACTTAGTAGTTGCTCGATCTAAAAACAGATTGGTTCTATCACTACTTTTCACATTCAGGTATATTTGACCTCTGTCACATGTTTAGATCAGCTTTTTCAGACAAAAAGGTACTCTTGTTGTGTTCTTAGGCAAGACACTTCACCCACATTGTCTAGAAAGAGTCTGGTGTGTGTGTGAATGGTCAGTGTGAATGGTCAGTGGCCGATGGCACATATCAGTTGCCTCACTTCCATCAGTCTGCCCCAGAATGACGGTGGTTAGTTTTCACCGTTTATGCAGTGAATGAATAATGACATGTGATGCTGAGTGTCAAAAAAGCACTGTATAAAACGGATGCACTTTAGAAAAGGACCACCCTCAGTCAGCCAATGAGCCGACTATAATGCATAAATAATGCATAATAACTCACACAGTAGTCAGGTCTCCAAGCTTGGCCATTTCCTTCCATGTTTCAGGATCCACTCCGCTGTATATGCCATTATTATTCACCACTATAATAATAATGGGCAGATTATACCTGTTGAAACACAAGTCGTCACACACTGCAAGAAAGTGCACTTCTGGTTAAAAAATCCTGAGGTGAATCTTTACCTGCACATGGTCTCCACCTCCATCCCCGAGAAACCGAAAGCGCTGTCTCCTTCCACACAGATCACTCTCTGCGCGTTGACCTTGGTCTTCTCCATAACAGCAGCTGCAATAGCAAAACCAAGGCCTACCCCCATAGTTCCAAATGTTCCAGCGTCTAACCTACAAGAACACGAGTTTCATTTCACAAAAAAGTCAAGAGAAATCATAACATGATAATTAAAATCATGGGGCGGCACGGTGGCTGAGTGGATAGGACTCTTGCGTATCAGCAAGAAGGTTCTGGGTTTGAATCCCGGTCGGAACAGGGCCTTTCTGAGTGGAGTTTGCATGTTCTCCCCGTGTTTGCGTAGGTTTCCTCCGAGTACTCCGGTTAACCCTACCACTAAAAACATGTACAATAGTTCAAGGTGAATGAGTGTGTGTTTGTGAGTGCAAATGTGGGACAACGAATGCAAATTAGCCCATGGCTACAATCCGGAGTGATGTGTTCATTAACATGTACTGTCCCACCCAAAAAAAATAAAAAATAAAATAAGGTGACATAATCTAATCTTCTTTTCTCAGCGTTTGCACATGTTATAGTCGTTTCCCCTTATCATTTACACACAAAGCAGTGACTCATGCACGTTTGAGTTATCTATATCCTTATATACGGGCCTGCCATTGCTCTCCCATCAGTCCTCTGATTGCAAAGACCTCGCCCCTCTGCCGATTTTGTGTTCAGAATCCATGATAAGTGAAGGATTTTGGCTCAATTACAAACCATTCAGCAGGTTTCCATGATACTTCCTCAAAGGGGCGGGGCTAAACAAGAAGGACTAAAGAAGGAGTTGTGAGATTTCATAACACTTTAAAGCAACTTTTGTTAAAGTTAAACTCATCATTCTATCAATGTGCAGAAGCCAGTACTTTTCCCTTGTTTTGTCTATCTGAAGGCCAAGCTACAAGCACACCGTGGAAGCTGCTGATTGGAGGTCTCCATGCCTCCGCTCTGTATAATACACTTGCATTCTGTTGTGTGCTTTGTTCGTGCTGTCTCTACCATCGACAATAAAACATGTCTTCTGTCTGAATTAAAGACGCGATCCCAGACCATGTCCTCTTCTTCAGAGCTACGCAGCTTGTTTCTTATAACATTCTTTTAGCTCCATCTAAGATTATCAAATTATAATTACATTTGAAATTCCATTTACTTCTTTTCTATATTTACTACAGACATATGAACTTTTGAACGACATTCAGATTTTCCGAGTTAAATTTCTATAGTTTAATAAAGAGCCACGAGGGTCCTAAATGACCACATTATAGAGAACGTAGTGTTGTTACGTCCCCTTTAACCACATACAGTCGGTGCCTTGCCTGTGTCTTGGTAAGTAGTTGTTCAACATGGTGCGTCCTATGTCCATTGTGTTTGCTCCTTCACTGACGATGATGCAGTCGTGCGGCAGGAGCTCAGAGACGTGTCGGAAAACTGTGTAGTAATTCATGGGCAGAGTTGACTGAAGAGCGAGGGACTGAAAAACAGAAACAGAGGGAGTTTACAGGTTATCAACATCATAACAAAGAAATCCTTGATGTATCTCACTGTTCTTGTACTGTGTTAGTCAGATACTGTATTAGTTTCACATTGTAAGTTGAATTATATGGACTTTTGAACAATATTCTAATTCCCTGTATACTTTTTAATCGGGAAAGATGTGGAAATATAGAAAGTTACCTGTGATATTTTGGTATTGGCGCTGATCTTTGCCTTGAGAGTGCTCCACCACTCAGAATCAGGACAGTATTTCCAGCCTTCGTTCTTCAGGTTTTGGGACAACTGAAAAAGCATAGCAGCTGGTTTACTTAACTTTATTTTTCTAAATAGTCATTATGTTAATACTGTCTAACCATGAACTAGAACAATAGGAAACATTTGAACTATTGCTTGGAAGATGTATGGGGCACTATATGCCTGTTTGGGCTGAGGGAGGAGCAGATCCTGCAGGTCTAAGCCACTCTTATGTGAGTGTGAAAAAGCTGCTAAAAGATGAACATGTGAATACTAACAAACAATGTGTGGAAAAACGACAGGGGTCTTCAATCTCTGGCTCAGTACTCCCTTCCATGTATCCCCCGAAGGATTTAGAATTTAGAAATATTCATATACTTCATTTCCTGATTTACATGCTACAACTATTGAAAATGAAAAAATATCTTCTAATATTGACCTATATATAACCACAAAAGTGCCACAAACATTTCAAAATGTTTTTTTCAGCCCTGGCCCCACTGAGAGGGCAGCTACTGTACATGTTTTTAGTGGAGAAAACCTACACATACACAGCGACATGCAAAATCCACTCAGAAAAGCCCTGTCTGGAGGTGGAATCAAACCAAGGACCTTCTCGCTGAGAGGCAAAAGTGCTAACCACTCAGCCACAGTGCCACCCATAATAGATTGTGGGTGTAAGGCTAAATACATCTTAATTTTAAAACATTTTGACCGTTGCACAACAAAATGTCCCAATTTTATGCTAAATGTGAGATGGGAATATCTCCATTTTGAGATCAATAAAGTTTGATCTTATCTCATCTTATAATAGGCCCCGTCTAACGGTGTGTGAGTGAATGATTGATGACGGTGGAAGGGGCTGACCCCAGTACGGCTGTGTCTGTAAAGTTACCTGAGAGACTACAGCGCTAATATCACCCAACAGAGCAGCAGCAGGCCTCACATTGTTCCCCATTTCTTCTGGACAAAGGTCAACCTGCGCAACACAAGAAATACTTGTTAATATTTAACCAGTGAGATTACAACATAAACAACAATAAAAACACTACGAGTAAAATTCCACTCAATACCTGAATAATTTTGACATTAGGATCAAATCTTGGTGGTCGGCCAAAATGTAAAATCCAGTTAAGTCTTGCTCCAAGTAGAAGGACAACATCGGCCTGCAGTAAGGCTCTGGAGGAGAACACAGCTTCAGTAACAGGTATGGGACGATAAGTTTCATTTATTAGAGCTCAACTGTTTCACAGTTTAATGTGGAAAATACGGCCCTCCTAATAAGTTCATTTTACACAATATTGGTCTATCATCCACAGAGAATGCCCATAAACAGAGAAAAAAAACAAAATGCACTTTATTGATCCCCGTAGGGCAATTCATCCTCTGCATTTGACCCATCCTGATGCCGCTAAGGCTTACATCAGGAGCAGTGGTCACCGTAGTAACAGCGCCCGGGAACCCATCTCTAGATGTTAAAGCTCGGCTTGGTCAGGACAACCGGAGCTGGTGGAAATTACCGGAGCGCACGGAGGAAACCTATGCAAACTCCACTCAGAAAGACGCTGTTCAGACTGGGATTTGAACCAGTCTTCTTCTATTTAATACAGTGTTAAATGTAAAATTATCGTGAAATGTGGAGCAAAATAAAAACGAGGTGTAGGATCTGAATAAAATGATGATGTTATTTATAGCTGAGATATTTTAGCCCATTCTTCTTCACACAACTCTTTCAGTTCTGCGCGTTCATTTCTGGGCTGGAATCCATTTGTAGAAGCCATTCCCTATTCCTTTCGGTTATGATTATTATTTCTGTGCACAATAAATGCCAAACTAGAACAAATCTTGAACCAGGACTTAGTCAGACTTAAACCAGAAACAAAGAATTTTTTATAATTTTTAGGATACTACCAAAAAATAAGTCTCTTGGTCCCTTGTTTTAAAAGTTGACAAAATGTACTCAAATCAAGAAATTGCCAATTGGGAAAGCAAAAATTCTCCACTTGAAAAGAGAAGAAAATGCAACTGAACTTGAAAGGTTAAATGTTTTTGCTTGTCCCATTGGCAAATCTGATTTTATTTCAAAATGTACCTGAACCAAGATCATAAAAACCACTCGATTCAAGAATGTGCTGGCTCATATTCCATATTTGTCAATTGTTTTGTGAGTCCGTTGACCTTGAGCGAGCCGCTGCCACACAGTTGGGGTGGTCATCAGGCAGGACTCCTTTCCCCATTGGAGTGGGCAGAAAGGGCAGACCACTCTCTTCCACAAACTCCTTGAGGACAGCTTCGGCTCGCGCATAAGCCGCTCCTGTGCATTTACACAACCACAGCGCGTCAGGCAGAGTGCTCTTCTTTCATATCATAAGATCAATGTGTACGAACCTTTTCCAATGATGATTAACGGTCTTTTGGAGGCTTTCAACACAGAGGCAGCTTCAGAAACAGCAGCAGTAGCAGCCATACTGACAGGAGGAGGCGGGCAGCAGGGTACAGCTCTGTGGACACATATACACGTAAGCACAATGTATTTTTATTATTATTTATTAATAACAGACACTTTTAATGTACAAAGAGAAAAAATAAATGTTAAATGTCATGTTTTTATTCTATAACATCTAAGCGACATTGTAGAGTGTACACTTGTCTTTTAAAAACAAAGGAAAGTTGCTCACCCATCATCTGTACTTCAGTTAGCAGGTTTAAAAAAAAAATTAAAAATCTGTACAACTGAGAGCTTACACAATCTTTTTCTTTTACATTTGCGAGCAGGTCTTTGAAGACTTTACAAGATTTTTGGAAAAAATGATAAATGTGACAAATTAAGAGACTATGTTCACTTGCACATGTTGTCGCTAAAATGTATAAACATGTAGTATCAAATATTTTAAAGGTACACTGTGTAGTTTTTACTCCCATCTAGCGTTGAGATCATATATGGTCATTTACGGTACTACGGTAGCTTTGCAGGACAATATGATGTCTTTGACAGTGGTCCCCAACTCCCGGCCAAACTCCTTTTTGTCCCTTATCAACCATTGTATTTCAAGATGGCGCATTGACATAGAGAGTCCTCCAGCCTCATGGACATTTATAAGTCAATTTCTAAGCCTCTGGAAACAATTCAAAAACATGGTGGAGGTGAGTATTCTTAAAAAGGTAACATTAGATATTGGTGATACCTTTTAGTAGATTTGATGATTGAACATGTTTGTATTTACTAAAAAACAAGGCCAAGTATCAAACTTTTTTTATGTCCATTATGATCGCCTGATAATCTGGGTGAGTCTATTTTTCACTTTTCTGTCTGAAAAAACTGAGACAAAGATGTGACAAAGGCCAAAGAAAAGATGAATGTTAATGTCAAACTGTTTTGAGTTGGATGGATTTTTATGTGTTTATACTTTCTGCCTGGAGCGTTTATTGTGAGGGAAAAATCTCTTACCTGATCTCGCCTCTGTTTACTTTTGAGTTCACCATGTCACCCGTTATGTCAACATAACAAGCTCCTGGACGCCCATATATGGAAGTGCGGACGGCCTGAAATCCACAAAACCACAATGTAACTCGGCTTTGTGTATAATCAAAAACATTGACAGGAAACACAAACCTTTTCGATAACTGAAGGTATGGCTTCCAGGCTGCTGGGTCGAGCGGAGAACTTGCTATAAAGCCGACATGACTCCACCTAATGCCAGACACATTTAGTATTTTAAAATTAATAATATCAATATGGCATTGCACATAGAATGACCAGATCTGTTTTTAGCCCGATGCCCCATGTCTCTGCTGAGTCCTCCCTTTTTTTTTAGGCCGAATTTAAACACACAAACAGTAGAAAGATGAAAATACTGTAAAATACAAAAACAATGGATGGTTTCTGTCATTCATTGATCAACTTTTGGAAAGAGAAGTGCAAATTAAAGCTGGGGTAACTAATTTTTTTGTTTTGTTTGTCATAAATAACGCATTTTGTTTTTCCCAACAGAAAGAGTCAAGCAAAAGTTTATATTGTTGTGAACAAATCAGACAAAATGTTATGTTGTTCAAACTTGTACGAGAGCCCTGTGAGTCACGAGTTGACACTTTGGGCTGAGATCTGATTGGCTGAGTGAAGGTGGTCCTCTCTTTTGAACTGTTCTGTCTGTCACAGCTTTACTTAATCTTTTCCAGAGGCTAAAGACAAATGTGAAAACAGTGAATGAGGAAGTAGTTGGATTCTATTACATGTATTTGTTGTGGTTTGGAAGAAAGGTACCTCAACTTTAATGTACATATTATTGCTCTTTTCACAATGTTGTGCGTTACCTGTGGGAATTCTTGAAAAGCCCCTGCTGTTTCTTGGTTTCTGTCAGAGGACCCTCCAACAACAACCACAGGCCTGAACAGATCAATGATTACAACAATGGAAAAGAAATGACATTTATAGCAGGACGTTTAGGCTCAGTCGTCTCTCACCAACAGTTTTCATTGGCGTTGGCCATTCCACCAAGGGCATGGATGAGTCCTGGACCAGACACCACCAGACAGGCACCGGGTCTGCAACAAGAAGAGACGTCCAGGGAAAAATACAATCGCTGGACTTTACTTTTGAATGGTGGTTTTTCACCTTCCAGTCAGATATCCAATGGCAGATGCAGCATAACAGGCCTGAGCACCATAAAGGAATAAGAGGAAAACCATTAGTGGCACAACAATCAAGGTGGAACGATGTAGGGGAAATCTATAAATTTATATTTTTTGACAAACATTCTTGACATAAGTGTAAAAAGTTGAGGAAGCATGGTATCCTACAACTATGAGGAAGTTAAACTAGCCCTGTTTCCATTGGCCCTACTTGGCCCTACTCAACTTTGCTTTACTCTGACTGGGAGGGTTTCACAAGTAACAGGCACTTTTTTAGTATCTGCGTAGCCCTAGTTCTATTCAGGCCGAGTTGGTTCTAATGTGTTATAACTACAGTGATAGGCCAGAGTGAAATTAAGCACTTTTTTGAGCACTCCACACACGGTGGTGATAAACTAATACTGTAGTCACAGCTGCCCAGGGGCACACTGACAGAAGTGAACCAGTACGTGCCATCAGCGACTCAAAAATAGATGCACACACCAGACTAATTCTAGGCAATGTGGGTGAAGTGTCTTGCCTTAGGACACAACGACAGTTTGTCACGTGCTGTATGGCACAAGTCTCCCATCATAGCACTAACCTGGCCTGCTTAGCTTAAGAAGACTAACGGGATCCAGCTTGCACAGTCTTGTGACAATTAAAATGAAGATGTCGATTCGATTATTCGATAATCTTGCAGTCATAGTACGAATCAGAGCGAATAACATGATGTTTTTGTGTATTATAATCTATAATGCATTACCGCTTGCTCGTTCCTCATGCCCACATATCTGATCCCTGCAGCCTGAGCAGCCATCGCCACCTCTATAATAGGAACACCAACCACACCGAACATGAACTGCACCTTCTGCACACAAGTGTAAATAATGGTCATTATTCATGAACTTTGACAAAAAAAGTGTTTGTTACCAACCTGAGCTCGTAAAGACTCCGCAAGAAGCTGCGCGCCCGTCACGTCCTCGTCCATGTCCGCGCGTAACTCTGCTTCCTAAAGTTACAACTGTGGGTTAATAATGTATAATAATAAGAGACACGTCTGTGGCTTAACATTGAACTGGTTACAGTGTAAGTGTCGTCCCACTAGATGGCGTTAGTTATTATTTACTTCCGGGGTTAAAGCCAATCAAAGTGAAGGCATATAAAAACACCCAGTAAACCTTGTCGCAGTTATCTCACGGCTATGATGGAAATGTATACTTAATGCAGAGTAAAAAGAAAAACCCATAAAACCATTATTAAATAACTCATTTCTTTATTACTCATAAAATATACATCAATCTCAGTAATGAAAGAAGTCATTGGATCTCTAAATTCACAGTCATAATTTCTATATACATGCTAGTTTCAAAGTTCCAACACTCAAACTCCAGGTAAAGGTTTTTTTTTTCTTTTTCATTCTAACAAAGCTAGCAGATGTTTTGTACATTGTCTCCAGTTAAACAATTAAAGAAACCAAGATTAAATCAGGAGTTTTTAGAATTAAAGCAAACAAACCTGTCGAAAAACATTACCTAGAATAAGAGCAAAATTATAATTCAAAAAGCAAGAAAAAGCCTTCAAACCATTGGTTTACATTACAGTGTCTCCTCATACCTCAGTGAAACAGTGCTTTTCACAATACTTGGTGTTCACTGTAGATTTACAGCTGCCTCTAATCCCAGTCATGTCAATGAAGGCACAAAATTAACACATAAATAGGAACCAAACAAACACAAATAATTTATTACAGACTAAATTGTATAGTGGTTAAGTCAACATACAAAAGGCTGTCAATTGACTTATAATCATCATTGATAGTGATATTTAATAATTTGTCAACAATTTGATTCACAACGTTGATCAGATGAGCATTGGTTTGTTAAAATATTTCTACCCCAAAATAAACACTTCTCCTTTTGACATGAAAAACTGAAAAACAAGTGCATCAGAAGATACATGTGGTGATGGTTCTCTTCTCCCCACTGAGCTTTTCCAATTCAAAACCAGCATCCTTCGAAGCCCAGGAGGGGCACAGACAAACACATTTCATTCAAACAATTGCATTTGGGTTAAAATGTTTTTGGTCCCTATCCATGAGCTGTTCTACCATCCATGTTCAGCTGTTATTGCCCTCATTCTCTGCTGTCCCCTCAGAGTCCCGCACTCAGCTGCTCTGGCTCCGTCTGCTGAATGGATAGTAGGTGCTGATGAGGTCGGGACGAGCGGGGGCCAGCCTGCCGCACTCTCTCTTGTGCTCTGCTCTGGGGGGGGGGGGGGCACTTAAGGCTCCGTGTGGGCTTCGTCCCTGGCCCTCTGAAGCTGGCGATGGGTCATTTTAAGACACAGTTGTGTTTGTATGGTCCTCAGTAAGTCTCTGAGTCCGAGTCATTGAGCTCCTCGTCTTTGAAGAAACCGTCATGGTGGCTGATGTTGTTGAAGCTGCAGTAGGAAGTGTGCTCGCTGCGCAGCACGGGAAGACTGTCGAAGGTGACGCTCTTGGAGGGGCTGGTGGTGTAGTGGTTGATGGCACTGAAAGGAAGAATGGGCGCTGGGGTGCAGGGGGACACAGGCATCATGGTGGCCAGGATGAGGGCGAGGCAGTCGGCCACATCTTTGTTCGGGGCACAGGCCAAGGCGGGTGTGTAACCTGAAACATGACCAGTAGAATTTGTTAAGAATAAAGCCTAGGAAAACAAAGGATGTTTAAAAAACGCTTTCAGAAAAATCTAACTTTAAGCTGTAATGGAGGAAATAGCTAACATCCATACTAAATAAATGCAGGTTTGGCAAATGAAAGAACACATTATGTTTACTTTGGTTCACGCTTGCTCTACCGCTGCAACATAAATCATTGAATCTCCACAGCAGTGCTCTGAAACGCACCATGATTACATTATTTGTTACAGGAAGCAAAGCGAAACATGTGCAGCGAGGGACTGTGCGAGTCATCACACTAATCTAAATGAGTGAAAAGCCTATATACCTGAAACATAAGCAATCCTGTGCTCTTAAATGCAGATACAGATTCAAGTCAATCTGTTCCAGTTTATGCGTAGTGAGTAGAAATGGCAGCACCTCCAAACAGACGGGTTTTGCAAACCTCAATAGCAGCTCACAGGTTTGCATGAGTATTGTTCAATAAAAATAATAATGATAATACATTGCACTGTAAAGAACTTTATTGATACTCAAAGGCTCTTTACAAAGAGACAGGTTACCAAGAAACTAAAATAAATTAAGTGTAGGCCATTTTGAACAGGTGGCTTTGAGTAGGAAATACTAGTGCTTTGTAAACGCAGTCACTTGTCATAATCTCAGAGTAACAAAGGAAAGAGAGTGAGAACTTACCATTCTCATCAACTGCAAGAACGCTGGCTCCCTTTGCAAGCAGCTCTTGTACCACTACAGTTAAACCATTTCTTGCAGCCACGTGTAATGGCCTAGAGAGCATAAAAACATAGTTAACAACTAGTGCATGTAAAACATAATATTCACAAGATTAATAACGTCAATGCATACGTCTGTAAGGCAGAGTTAGTGGCATTGATGAGGTTTCTATCCGAAATCTTTTCCAATATCAACAAGGCACTGGTTTCATGTCCCTGAAATATACAGAAGAAAAAGTATTAAAAAACAAACCAAAAGAATGAGAGGGTGCAAGACGACAGGAAGTGGACACACCTTACTACAGGCGAGATGGAGAGCAGTGTTCTTAGCAGCATCTTGCAAAGTGAGATCTGCTTTTGCACTGCTCACAAGCAACTCTGAAACAGCCAAGTAAATAATTGTAATTTAGTCATTAAATTGTAAATATATTACTTATTATGAAAAACAAAAATCCTTCATACCAACAGCATTGGTCTGTCCGTTCTCCGCCGCCATCATCAGAGGTGTCTTTCCAAAAGCATCCACACAGTTGACCTGCGCGTTGTGGCTCAGCAGCAGCTGCAGACACTCCACGTGGTCAGTGAAGGCAGCAGCATGCAGCGGCGTCCTGAACAGAGCCATACGTTCACATACCAAACAACATTTCAATTTGATATTCAACTAAAAACCCATTTGTTATTAAGGCAATTCTACATTCATCTTTTAATATAAAGAGAAAGTAAGCAGCAAAAGACATACCTGTCTTTACCATCTTTGGTATTTACAATCGTAGGGCCCAGTGTCTCTATCAACATCTCAGCTGCACCTTCATTATCATGAATTCTATAAACAAAAGAAAAACAGATTTAGAAAAAAAATGCATAAAGATGTGAAAACAGCAGCCACTTACACAGCACAGTGCAGAGGGCTGAAGGTACTGCCCACAGCCTTGTGGAACACCTCCTGCTCCAGCAGAGCCTCCACACACGTATCATGACCTGAAACGACGCATTAGCCACAAATGTAAAGCCTTAAAGTTTTCATTTCGTAAATGTATTGATTTCAGGTCATATATGGAGAAAAGGGGCTTGGTAGAGTACCGTTGTAGCAGGCCCAGTGCAGTGGTGTGTAGCCGTGGTTGTCTGCTAAAGGAGGCAGAGTCTGTACTGACTGCGCAGCATGCAGCAGACTCCCCAACACCCCAAAGTGCCCACACGCCGCCGCCTGATGGACGGGGGTGCGTCCTTTACAGTCTCGTACCAGGAAGTTTGCATTGTGCTGAAGGAGCGCCTCCACACACTCCTCGTGACCCGTCACAGCCTAGAGTTTACAATGCGCTAATGATTAGATGAGTTTCATATATGATACAGTCAGTCTGGTAAAGCACTTACTCCTCTGTGCAGCGCCGTCCTCCCCCACTTGTCTTTAGCTTCAACTCCAGCTCCTTTATTCAGCAGAGAATACACACTATCCGTGTGGCCACAGAGAACGGACAGCATCAGCGGTGTTCTAGAAAGAGACATTGAGTCAGAGGAGCAGGTTAGGCATAACTATAAACCACAACTAGCATACCGACTGTTCCACCTGCTGCCCTCAGGCCGGAGGTACAGGTCACTCCCTGCCCGAACCAGCAGAATGGCCAACAGCCCCTACCCCCAGGCTGTCAAACTGGTCAATGAACACTGTCCCCCTTCTCACACCCCCCCCCCCCCCCCCCGGACCCCCATTACCCTCTACTTTTACTTTTACATATCTGTCATAACTATGACCTGGTCGTGCACTGCAGCTACATACTCACTGACATCCTGTTACTGTTATAATCTACCTTTTCCCTGTGCTGTTCACATCCTGCCAACGTCTGCACTTTATACGCTTATCACGGTGATGCTCTAAATGTAATTTCATTGTTTTTGTGACAATGACAATAAATTATTAAATTGAATTTTAACTACTTACTGTCCATTTCCGTCTTGAATGTCCACTGCACTTGGAAGATCTGCATTTCCAATAAGTAGACGCAAACATTCGGAGTGACCATTTGTAGCTGAAACAAAATAAATATGCATTAGTTCTTCATACTCTTAGTTGCATAATTAGCATTTCCTTTACATGAAAGTATAAATACCTGCTGCATGGATGGGGGTTCGCTTTAAGGTGAAGTCCTTGACTAATATGGAGGCTCCCTGGTTGATCAGCACGTCCACACACTCCACATGGCCCTTGAATGCAGCCAGATCCAGTGGAGTGCGGCCCTGACCGTTCCGTACGTCCAGATCCAGCAAAGACTGAACCAGTACCTCCAGAGCCTGGTGATGGCCGTGATATGCCTGGAGGATTGCATTTACCGGTTTAAGAAAAAATTTAGTCTTAATCCTGCAAGACCACTTCAGATTTTACAAACACGATACTTACAGCAAGATGCAAGGGACTAATGGGGGCTCTGACATCCGAGTCATTCATAATGTCTGTTCCTGAGGTTTCCATGAGCTGAGAATACAGGAAGAAAGAGAGTGTGCTTTGCAATCCTCAAAGTATTTAGTCAAATTATTACAGCACAACCCCAGGTATGGTTAAAGCTTTCTTTTAAAGCCATTTAGGGAAAAACAATGCCACCATCAGTGTGCAGAGGTGCATTGTACAGCTCAAATTTCTGCAACAATACAGTCGTCTTTTATCTTTTTTATATATCAGAGAAAAGAAGCATCCCATCTATTCTGTTTTTAGTGTTTATGAAATGGTGGCAGGGAATTTACTGGTGAAATATTTATTTTGTATGAAATGAAAAGATGCGTTTATTGTTTAATTGTGCCGTGAATGTGCGCTGGGGGGACACGGGCACATTTAATGGCAATCTCTTATTTTTCATGTAAATTTAATAAAATATTGATATTTTAAAGACGGGGATTCTGCTCCGTCAAATTGAAACATTTGTAAATGATTCAAAAGAACCTGTAAAAACATGTAGAGATGCTAACTTGAGTAATGGTTAATTCATGGAAACCTTATTGGATGCATTTTAATAATATCTTTTCCTTTTCTGTTCTATTATTTGTTTGCAATTTTCATTCAATTGGAGAACAAATGTGTATAGGACTTACCACATCTAGAGGAGTTTCACTTGCAATCTGGAACACAAAGAATTGTTGAAATACTGGTTGTAAAAAAGGCAGACGTTAAAAGCACAATGTTCTCACCAGTTCCAGGCAGAGGCGATGTCCATACGCAGAGGCGTAGTGGACAGCGTTATATCCGTGATTGTCCCGTATCCCTGGATTCGCATCGTTCCGAAGTAAATATTCCAGGCACCTGAGTACAAAAAAATGCTCAGTCAGGGGAGAAGACAGGGAGAAGACAGAGAGAAGACAGAGAGAAGACAGAGAGAAGACAGGGAGAAGACAGGGAGAAGACAGGGAGAAGACAGAGAGAAGACAGGGAGAAGACAGGGAGAAGACAGGGAGAAGACAGGGAGAAGACAGGGAGAAGACAGGGAGAAGACAGGGAGAAGACAGGGAGAAGACAGGGGAGAAGACAGGGAGAAGACAGGGAGAAGACAGGGAGAAGACAGGGAGAAGACAGGGAGAAGACAGGGAGAAGACAGGGAGAAGACAGGGAGAAGACAGGGAGAAGACAGGGAGAAGACAGGGAGAAGACAGGGAGAAGACAGGGAGAAGACAGGGAGAAGACAGGGAGACGACAGGGAGACGACAGGGAGACGACAGGGAGAAGACAGGGAGAAGACAGGGAGAAGACAGGGAGAAGACAGGGAGAAGACAGAGAGAAGACGGGGAGAAGACGGGGAGAAGACGGGGAGAAGACGGGGAGAAGACGGGGAGAAGACGGGGAGAAGACAGGGAGAAGACAGGGAGAAGACGGGGAGAAGACGGGGAGAAGACGGGGAGAGGACGGGGAGAAGACAGGGAGAAGACAGGGAGAAGACAGGGAGAAGACGGGGAGAAGACGGGGAGAGGACGGGGAGAGGACAGGGAGAGGACAGGGAGAGGACAGGGAGAGGACAGGGAGAGGACAGGGAGAGGACAGGGAGAAGAGAGGTGGAGGATTGAGTGGAGAACCTTTTTTGAATCTCCTGTACGCAGAGACTTTTTTTTACACATCTAAATCCCCAGAATATATCATAATATTACTTATGCAGTGAGTTCTATGTTGAATCAAACAGCCATATGCTGTTGGGCGTTGCTTGGGAAATGTCATGATTAAATTGGACTTAAGACTAGTCTACATATTTATGGCTTTCTAAGTGAGGTTTCCCTTATTCAAGTGTTGCATACAATATATATGAAAACAAAAAATCACAAATGCTGTATTTTTTTCTCCCCCAGAGCTAATGCATTTAGATTGTCCTGACAGAAAGTCTGGTAAAATGAATCCTTTGTGAACAAATCAGACCACTACATACTATTTTTATTGTATTAGAAAACATGTTATCTTTTGCATACTTGTTCGAAAGAGCCCTGCGAGTCACTATTTGACGCTTTGGGCTGAGAGCCTGTGCGAGTGAGCGTGGTCCACTTTTTTTCACTTTGTCTGAAAAAGCTGATCTAAAGATGTGAGAGAGGACAAAACATACATGAACAAATAGTGATAGAAACTGTTGTGAGTTCCATGGACTATATTACATTGTTATTGTAATGAAGTGTATTTATTGTTTGGATAAGCTTTACTTGCAGGGAAATAAAAATCATAGTTTGTAATAGTTTATTTTCAGAGCTATGGGTTTTTATGACCTTTTTAAACCTAAAGGGAACTTTTAGAGGTCATGAAACTCTAAACCCTGTATCGACCAGCTAATATAGAAAACGTCTTCCATCAATAACACGTACTTTCCATCTGTGTCTGAGGCAGCGGCGTAGTGGAGAGGAGTGCAGCCCCTCTCGTCCAGGTCGTTCACGCTGGCCCCGGAGCCTACCAGAGCGAACAGGCACTGGTAGTTACAGTTGGCTGCAGCATAGTGGAGCGGCGTCCTGGGGAAACACACACACCGGCTTTAGTCTCAGTCTATTGTGCGATGCAGAAGCATCAAGTTTGGCCATTAAAAAAAAGACAATGATACAATTTACTTTGTAGTTTCATGTTTTAGAAAGTGCAGCAATATATAAAGTAGAAAATATTTTGGGTAAGTATGATGAGGGAACAATGTTGCAACATTAAAAAGTGTAAAAGTTCAAAAGTGGATTTGTAGAGTATTTCTCTTTGTACAGTAACAGACCTCCCAAAGCTGTCTTTTCTATTGAAGTCAGCACCAGTGTTGAGGAGGAGATTCAGACAATCCAGGTTTCTGCAAAGACACAAATCCATAAAAATTACACAATAAGACGGCATGAGCTTATCCCGAGTAGGGCTGAACGATTATGGAAAGATATCTGTGATTTTTGTAGAACATTGTCACAAATGACAATGTTTGCTGTTAGATTTACTAGAATTGGCTTTAGCATAGCGATTATTCGAGCTTCTAAGAAAAGTAAGAAATAATGTAATGAAAATTGGCAGAAAAAATCTTAAAAACTTAAAATATATATTAGTCCATCAAGTAACTAGAACTAGTACTGCCCACTGGTACAACACTTCTATAATATGTCTATGTTTCTTACTTTCCATGAGTCATGCTACTAATATAATGCTTATACAAACATGATACTGGAGTGTTGTGCTCCTCTGATTGCCCCACAGGGACGACAGGTGAACACAAACATTCTCTTGATCCTAAACTTACCCGCCGGCAGCTGCAGCGTGTAAACACGTCCTGCCCAAGTCGTCAGGGGTGTCAATATCAAAGCCTGCGTGGAAGTGGACAAGCATAAAGTTACACAACACAATCGATGAGTTTATTGAAAAACAATAAAACAAATAGTGGCAACAATGATAAGATCTAAAACTATCAAATTGCATTAAATCCACTAAATAATATTAGTAGTATATTATTGTGTCGTAAGCAGAGTTTTATAATTAGATGTTTTTGTTTATAGATCTTTATTTAACCAGGATAGTGCCACCAAGATTTCAGAATCTCTTTTGCGAGAGGTGAGAAGACTATTGTATGAGAGGTAATTTCTGCAGAGACAGGGAGAACGTGCAAAGTCCTCCATTTAGCGCTCCCCTGGGAGCAGGCTAATCTGAACCAGTTCAAAACATGAAGGTAGTAACCCCTCGTAACACCAGGAGAGGTTACTATGTTCATACTTGGCATTGAACAAATGTATGTGAAGTGTACCTGATGACAGAAGCTTTCGGCAGCAGTCAGAAAACCCACTAAGAGCAGCCAAATGCAGAGGGAACATACCATGAATCCCCCGTCTGAAAGAACACAGAAAAACAATAGTGTAATTACTTGATGTTGATCACAGCATTTAGGATGAGCTATGAACACATTGGCTTCATGCTAACGTACAGTCAGGACAGTAGTTAAACACTAGTGTCTACATCTTCTGCATTCCATGGACTTAGGGTTTCTATTTTTATTGACCTTCATGTAACCTATTTCAAAAGGGAGTCCTGGTCCCAGAAATAAAGTTTTAGAGCAAGCCATACATGTGGATACAATCCATGGAAACAAGTGGCCTTCCTACGAGACAAGTACCAGACACGTCAAGAGGCCAGCCCCGCTCAGTCATAACACATAACACTTTTGCCACTTTTTTCACTAACAATAAAGGTAATTTGAGTGTCTTCTCTGTCTAATGCCTCAGAGTGGCCCTTTGGAATTCTCCTGCAGTCACTTACTTGGCTGTATCAGCTCTGTTTGTGATGAGCGTGTTGATGAGCAGCTCATGCCCGTAGCGAGCCGCAATGTGCAGAGGTGTGTTTCCGTTCTTGTCTTCACAGTCGATCTCAGCACCTTAGGGAAACACTCAGCAATTAGCGAGAGCAACTTTTACCTTCCACTGTGATTTCAGGACACTCACCATTCTCAATAATCGCTTGAGACCTAGAAAACCTTCCGTGGATAGCTGTCATGTGAAGAGGAGTCTTTCGATCTTTACTCTGGGAAAATGCCCACACAACACTCTTTAATAGGGATATCAAAAGAATTACAAATCATGAGCCCATTGTCAAGTAACAAAATGAGACAAAAGTAATGAAACTAAACATAGGGCAGTTACTAATGATTTTTACAAAAGATAGAAATGTTGTGACAGAGATCTCTATAGGAAAAATGTGTAGGCAGATATCTATTTTAGTAATGAAAGTCATAAATTTGTGATTTCATTTGAAAATGTCTGTATAAGAATGCTGCTTTCTTTATGAAGTCTGTTGGTATGTGTTGTAATGTCAGAATAGCACAGTAAACAAAAAAAGAGACGACAATAATTAATTTTATCAACGTATCTTGAGCAGTTTTTAACCTAAGTTGTGGTTCAAAAGGCTACCACCAATATATGGAGAAGTAGTATGCTCCATATCTGCATAGTACTATGCAGTACTATGCATATATGGAGCAGTATTATTACCTTTTCATTAAAAAAATAAAATGATTGCATTTTCTTTTATAGGTGTCCTGGATCTATATGTATGTGTGTAAATAAAAATGTTATGGTCGATCAAGTATTTTCAAATCATCGCCATGGTATCATGGAGGTCCCTTATTTGTCGCAGTTTAAAATGTTAAAAAATAAAATACGGTCACAGCACAACTGAACATGGCGTTTTGCAAGGTGGGGCAAATCACCTTGATATTGACGTCCGCTCCGTTGCAGACCAGCAGCTCCAGACACAATGCCCCGTGACGTGAGGCGGCCGTGAAGTGCAGCGGAGCGAAGCCCTTCTCGTTCACCTGGTTCACGTTGGCGCCGCACTCGATCAGCTCGTTCACCACCACGTCCTGCCCGTTGTAGCAGGCCACGTGCAGGGGGGTGTTTCCGTAGGCGTTAGGCTCATTAATCTGTACGGAGAAATATTGAAAATAAGCAAAAATACAATATCAGTGTATCAAGTTTAGTGTGATGTCAGTTGTGTTCAAACAAGACAACATGTAAATAAACAGGAGTGAGTTGAATGAGAATATAAGGATTAAATGGCTTGAATTTATATGATACATTTTCTGATTCACAAAAGCGAAGCAGAGAACAATGAAGCCCAATTTACACTTCTCTCTGAAGTTCTGTACGTAGCTACGCAGAGGATACCGAGAGAGGTGTGTCTTTGTCGGCACAAAATTTAATAGACCCGTCCATCATTCTGCCAACATGTGACAGAGACAGAACCAGAGCTGAGATTTGTCCGGGAAAGAGCAGTGGAGAGCAGAAGGCAGTGAGTGATGCCCATATGTGTCAACTTTGAGGTAGGTATGCTTCAAAACTGTTCATCAGACAGTCCTCATTTCAGGTCAAGATTACAGTGTCCGCACATTCAGAAAGCTCTATTGTTTGATGTTGTTTACCCCCACTCAGTATGAAGTGAATGAATAATGCCATGTGATGTGTATTTGGGTGTCATGAAAAGTGCTATACAATATACTATTCATTATTATTCTTATTATTGTCACTTTGTGTTGTGTGTTATTCCTTCACTGTGAGGAGAGAATGAGGTCTATTTTTAAGGAACAAAGGAGTGGACCAGTGTACAGAGCCTGAAGATCAAAGGCAATACCTTGATCTGCAGGGGAAATTTGCATTGCATATCCGACACACATCTGAGAGGTCACCGTAGTTACGCAGAGAACTAACTACGGAGAACAACGGAGAAGTATACTGTAACATTAAGAGAATTTAAATTACTTATCTAAAGAAAATAAAACAAAAACTAGGAAGGAAAAGGGACATGGAAAACATGGTGATAAGCAGTGAAAAGTGTATGAATGCCACTTTTGACTTTAGGACTTTAAGTGTTGTAGAAGTGAAGGTAGTTCATAGAAGAGAGATGAAGCAGGCAAAATGTACTTTTATGTTTTTCATCAGTTTTGGCTTGAACCCGGATGTGCAGGATTTTACGTCATCACAACAAGAGGTACTCACATCCACGCCCAAGTCCAGGAGGTACTTGACCACGCTGATCATGCCACTGGAGGCCGCTGCATGTAAAGGGGTGTACGATTTCTTATCTTTACAGGCCACTTCTGCTCCGTGAGAGGCCAGCAGCTTCACAACTTCTATGTGACCTGAATGACAAAAAAAGTAAATGGGTTGCCATGTTTGTAGTCAATAATACAAAGCCACTGATGTGCATGTGTGTGATGCATACCCATATAAGCTGCCCAGTGGATTGCCCGACGGTCCTTTTTGTCAAAAGCATTGATATTGGCTCCTCTCGATAACAACAGGCGCACCATCTAAAAGAAAATCCCATCAACTTGCTTTTACATTAAGATCGCATAATTACCTCCTTGAATACACCTTACTTTGACAGTATATGATAATTGTTGGAGTTATGAGTCATGAGCCGCAGTGAAAGTGCATGGTAGACGATGACTTACCTCCAGATGCCCACTGAAGGCTGCATGGTGCAGCGCGGTCCTTCCGGCTCGATCCGACACATTCACATTACTGAGCAGAGGCACTAAAGCCTCCGCACAGCGCACTGCTTTGTTCGCTGCTGCAACATGAAGTGGAGTCTGCCAATTCTTATCTCGTGCATTTACATCAGCTGAGTGTTTCAGCAAGACCTGGACTGCTTCCTAATGGTGTAGAAACATCAATTATAAAACACTACTTGTTATATTTAAATAAAGAAATATAGGTCCCTACTTCACTACAGGAGGCCACAGCCCGGTGCAGAGGAGTGAGCCACTTGTTGTCTTTGGCATTAACTCTGGCACCTAAAAGGTGGAAACCAGAGAAACAAGGATTAAAAAGGGTATAATTCATGTATCTATATATGGTATAATGTGTCTGCATGTGTGTGTGTTTTAAAAAGACCTGAAAGAATTAGTGTATCTATAATTTCTGCATCTCCAAGATAAGAAGCAGCATGTAGAGGAGTTCGCTTTTCATTATCCTGTAATAAACGGTACAACAAACAACATTTAATATATTAAGTTCTCAACAGTGGAACAGTATTTAGCAAATACGTAATCCAATTTATTAAAGACATACAAGAAATAACTGCCTACATTGGAAACATGTGGTCACTTTTGTCTTTACAGAAACACGTGTAATAGGAGTTACCTGTGCATTCACATCCTCTTTCTTGAAAATAAGAGCTCGTACTTCTTCTGGATCAACACTGAAAATGGCTTTCAGCAGAGGAGGCTGCAAAACACAAGAATATTAAACTTTTAACGCATTTAACGGTTTGAACCACAATTACCACAGATACTGGTAGCCCTGTAGCTAACCCTTATTTTGATAATCGACCAAACTAGTTTTAGTTGATTAATTGGGTGATGACTCTTTTGATAATATTCTTAAATAATAGTCATTTAGGTCATGAAAGGCCAAACCCAAAGCGAAAGTGCTTAAGAACATTAAGGAGGAGTTAAAAAAAAACGTGATTTTCCCACATATTTTAATGTCATATCACTACAGAGCCTTTTTAGTTTATGGTTCAAAAAGCAGACATACAATCACTAACCTATTTCACAACACAACCGCAGGGCCTTTATTCCCACCGCTGTCAGACTGTACAATAAGCCACTTTAAGTCTCTTGCATTAGGACTGAAAAACCTGCACTACTATTGACACTGATTCTTGACTGCCACTTATGAATTGCCACTTTTTATTGTACATAATATATCCTGCATTTAACATGTTTGCACATTTCTTTCTTTTGCATCTTGAGTGTTTCTATCCAGGCCAGATGTGACATGTAAATTTCTCCTGTGTGAGATCAATAAAGTTTATCTTATCTTATCCCTTTCAAAAATCAATAAGTTTCAATCTATTAATTAACTTGATAGCAACATACTGGAAAGAGTATCAGTTTTCACCATTAGTTTTTTCATTAAAATACAAAAAATGTAGTAATAATACTTGTGAACGCTGAGAGGGCTATAACTTTGAACCATGAGCATAAACAGCAGCACATGACAAGTCACAGCAACTCAAGTCGCGTGGAAATTTACAACTTTACAATGTTCTTTTTGTTTTCATTTATCTCCCCATGGCAAGAATCGTCCCCGCGCAGAGGACAGGATAGTTCGAGTTAAGAAAGACGGGTTCGAAATATTCTTGCCCATAGGCTACTTGGACAGTTGATTTGGACTTTTAATGTCTCTTGTCTCTTGATACTAGTTGGGATGGTTAGTTAAATCACTATGGAGAGCGCAAAGACGTGAAGTGCGCACACAAAACGAAACATGCACGGGCCACAAAAATAGCAACGACTGAAAACACCGGCCATAAATGACATCGGGGCTATTCTAGTGTCAAGTGTCAGATATTCTTTAAGGGCTCAATGATAAATTCCAGTCATGCAAGTTTACAATGACTTTCACTAGGCATATAATAAAAGAAAGGTATGAATGAGATTTGTCTCAAAGGGTATCTGATCACAGTTGAGCCCCACTACTATCTTTTCGGCAAAATGAGTAAATGCATAAATTAATCAATAATAACTTGGAATAACTCAACATCAGGCTAATAGTCCTGACCAAGAGCATCAACATCTGAAATGTGTCTCTGGGTGGTACCTGTAATGACCACTGCCCCACTGAAGGATGGCATTGGGGATAGGTTAAATGCAGAGTTAACAACAAATGGCTAACTAAATTAACTAACTACCCATCACATACTTGCAGTACATAACCAGTTTGGGAACCACTGGGAGAGATGGTAACATAAACTGTTATGTTTGTATCAACTTTCTCTTTGTTGCCCAACTAAAAGATGCACCATGTAACATATCTGCTATTTCTCGTGAACATGGAGATTGTATTTCAATGTATTATTGTTACGCCATTTGACAGCACCTTAAAAAGTGTCTAACAAGAAAGCAATACATGCCACATAAAGAGCAATGAATGTGACATAAAAAGTGCAGTACTGATGTTACAGCATTGTCTGGAAAAGACCACAGCAAAGCATTATTCATTGACATGGCGTTAAACAGGTGACATCACCAAGTCAACAAATCAGATCTGTGGAAAGGCAATTCCCCCCACAGTAATAAGGCGTATTTTTCCATCGTGTCTTTAATCTTGTGAATATGAAGAGATCTTTAAAGACGAAGATGTATATAATTAGTGATGCGTATGGCAATTATGAAATGTCTTTATAAGTGATATTTCAGATTCAGTAATACAAGGTTCTACAACAGATGTAACCACTGGTGTATGCGTATATTATAACTAATTTACTGGGCAAACATTGACCCAGACGAAGAAGCCAAGAGACCAGCACTTCCTCTGTCACATACAACATAAAACGCCGTAAGACACGTACTCCAGGCCATTTAATCACCAAAAACAATCACGTATGACCACAAACATCCCATCAAACCGTGACAACAAACATTAGCAATCAAACGCCGTCTTTGAGCTGCACACATGCCGCTATGTAACGCGTTACTGTGGCTTGACACTTTGTTTTCTGAACCTTCCAAAAGGTCTAATTAGTTCATAAATCTACCACCAAACATGGGCAGATAAAGCATATTCGTGTGACATCCACTGTGACGCTTTGATCTTTGTAGAATAGCTGCAGCCACTCGGATTACACAGCGCTGCAGTGGTAAAATCGCTGTTGCTAACTAGCTTAGTTAGCGTTAGCACACAACACACACTTCCAGGTTCGCGTTAGTGAATACAACCATCACGTACCTGGTCTCGGATTTTGAGAACCACCATATTTCTGCGGTGTTCAAAGCTGTCATACAGGTCATATAGCGGTGTTTAGCTCGTTCCGAAAAGCAGGTTTGGCAGCTTTATCCGTGCTAGGCGGCCTATTGGGGACGCTAGCAGCAGGGCTATTTTGCTAGCTCCCTGCCTGGACCTAACCCGATGGCATGGAAGCAAAAAGCAGAGGAAACTCCATAACATTGCCGCCACCGTAGCCCACCCCAGAAAAGAGCAGCTTTCTGATTGGCCAATTTTACGCACGCACTCAGTAACGAGCCACCGGATTGGCTGCTCTCGTCTCTGGCAACACGCGAGATACGGCGCTACACCACTCACTGCGCAGCAGGTATGTACTGGGTTTGCATTTCATTTGCTCAAGAATGAAATATAGCTGAATTTATATTATAGTATAATGAGTATTTGGTCACTAATCTATTTTTTCTCAGACTTCAATATATGTTACATAAAGATAAATATTTCCGTCAAGTTTTTACATGTTCCAAGCACATGGTTCAAGGGGGGAAAGATAATCAATCAATCACATCCACCGAGGTTCTCAAATGTATGGGAGGTGTAGAATATCCATACTGTTCATACCATAGACTGTCCAGCATTACACACATTGCAAGCTACAGTTAAAATGCCTACAACAAGCCCAACATTTTATAAGACTGATAAATGATAACAATTTAAAGTATTGAGTAATATAAACTCAAGAAAATCATCAATACCATCTACTTACTGTCTATTAACTTATAGTAACAATTAACAAACCCCACTAAGAGTGGTCTGGATATGCAAACCCCTCATTTATTGCAATGTAATATCCGTATCATATTGTGACCACTGACCACTCAATTCACTCTCATAAGCTATTAATTCTGTAATATCTCTATACCATGCTGGGCACATAGTTCATAGCTATTAATTATATATGTATCACTTATACAATGCTTTTGAATACAACCATAAGTTATTTAGTTTGTAGCCCTCATTGACAGTTTTTTGCACATAATTTTAGCCTTTAGATCAGGCATGAGGTCATTTTTTGTGGCCCTGTCTTACAAAACAATACCATACAATCCTCTTGTATAGCCCTAAATCACAACAGCTGTCATCTCAGAGCAGACTTGCGCACACAAAGAAGTAATTTATGTATGGTCATAGTGTCATCCATCCGGCCAACTTCAGCTCCGCCAATACAGTCATGCTGTACCTTGTTGTCCTGCTCAGAACCTTTGGAACCCAGTCGTTAACTTCTTTTGTCACAAAATGGCACCAGTGTACCTGAGGTGTGAATCAATAAGCCCATAACAGAACAAATATACAGGAAAAAGAAGTTTAGAATCCATGTTGTCGGCCCCTGGACAAGTCTGGTGAACTAAAGTGGCCCAAATAAAAAGTTTGTTTTGGAAGAGGTTAAGGTTAAAGTTAACAGTATTTATGCATCACTTATCTATTTGACAGGACTTGGTTAAGATTGCGTAACAGCGGTTAAAGTATAATCACCTTTTCTTTTTTTTCTTTTTTTATCTTTGTATTTGAATGACTATTTCTATTTTTTTCTTCTGCTTTTATCACCGCTGTTCTTGAACTGTACATTGTGGATGTTTTGAAGTTATCTCATTCTGTTCTTATGATTCTTTTGCAGGGTTTTGTAAGCAAGAGGATGAAGTGGCCGTATGACATTAGGATCGTGCAAACAGTCACAACCGATAAAAAGTAAGATATCTCAAATGATGATAATGTCCTGGTGGTTTCCTACAGTTGCTCTGGTTTCACCCACCAGCCAAAACATGCACCATGGGAAAATCGTCTTGCTCCAGTTTTGACAAAGAGGATCATCATCTGCAACCATTGCCCCTGACAGGTTGCACTTGTAGACGGTAAATATTACACATTTTCCTACGGGGACAAAAGAGAATATCTTTACCAGCCTTATCTTCCCTTACTAATTATAGCTACAAGAATGAATACCATACATTATGATAATTCATCACACTATTTGAGATAAGACAGAGAACCGTAAGAGTAATGTCAGTGTTGCAGCAGACATCACAAGAGCTGTCAAAAAAATAAAGCAAAATTTTGGCTTGTTATTTCTAAAAACTAAAACTAGATATATAGATGAAAAAATCAAATGTGTGTGCAAGTGTGTTTGTAAGTAATTTGCCAGCACTACTTGTGTTGCTTTCTACAAAGCCAATCCCACAAACAACAGCTGAGCTTCCCCAATAGCCCCACTAGAGGGCACTGCTTAGACATATATTTTCTGGTGCTGGGCGCTACAGGTGCTATTTATAGGGACTGCTTTGTACAGCCTCCTTCATGCACACATAGTTTATAGTTGCATAACACAAATCTGCCCTCTTATTTTCAAGTTGTGGCCCTTTGTACTTTGGTGGCTCACAGTAAGACCATGTATTTCCATAATCCTTTGTATAATAATGGCAGAAATCACACAAGAGAAACGGGGACAGTTTATTTTAGCTGCGGTGATGGATGAGTGTTGTTGTGCACCTGCAGGGGAGAGTGTGTGGCCCAGGCTGTCCCCGGTCCTTCTCATCGCGGTGAAGTGACACCAGGCCTCTGAGTTCATCCACCTTGCTTGCCCCCCCTCTCTCTCTTTGTCCAAACAGCTCCATAAATAGCTTGTGTCGTCACATCGGCGCTGTCACATCTTGTCTCGTCCTGTTCATAAGGTACACTTTTTTCACTGCCCACTCCAGTGATGGTTCTTTAGCTGTAGGTGTATAAAGTCTGAACCACAAACTCTGTGACCTACTTTGACATCTAATTATGAGTGTAAAGCATGTTGTAGATTCAAAAGGAGATTAAACTATTATGAAAGCTGGGGTTCCGTATTTTTCGGATAAGTGGCACCAGTCAAAAAATGCATAATGAAGAATGGAAAAAACAAGTAATTTTTGGGGGAATTTTAACACCAAGAATAGACATTTCATCTTGAAAGGCAATTTAAAATAAAAATAGAATAAAGAAAAACAGGCTGAATAAGTGTACTTTTTATGATGCATAAACAACAAACTGAGAATGTGCCTGGTATGTTAACGTGTGATATACAGCTTGTGGTTTTTGATGACAAAAATACATTTGCTAATAGAAATAAGACAGTGAAAATGTGGTCAAATGATACCAGCTTAATCTTAAGTTTAATCACTCAACTCAATAGCCCGGGCTATTATTTGATATTTTACTGTAAATAAAATATAACATTTAAAATATAAACATGAATAATTTCACACATAAATCACTCCAGAGTATAAATCGCACCTCCGACAAAAACTGCAAATTATAATCTGAAAAATATGGTACCTAATTTTCAACAAAAATGAGTATCTATATAATTTAATTAAATTCATTTTTGTGTTACCCTAAATCACAACAGCAGTCATCCCGGAGGACTTTACAAGGTTGTCGATTCCTTAATTACAGATCAAAGAAACAAACAGTTTAAACACAGATAATGCAAACACACAGGAGCCATTGGTCCATAGGGGGCGGATGACCTATGTCCATAAATGTTAATATCCATCCATCCATCCATCCATTTTCTTCCCTTTAATCCATTTCTGGGTCAGGGGGGTGGCAATCAGAGATACCACCCAAGTCTCATAGCACCAGCCCCTCACTGACCCTCTGCAGGTGGTGAGTCCACAGGAGGACGGCTGCTCTCTGAGTGTGAGTATAGCCTTGATCTTTCAGTGGGGGCAAACCATTGTTCTTAAATGTCATGGATAAAATAGAATCCATGTAACTATTTCCTCGCTCTCAAAACTGTTTGGTTGTATCACTAGTTTTTACATTTACATTTGGGCCTCTGACACATCTTAAGATCAGCCTTTAGAGAAAAGTGAAAAAGAGTGGATCATTCAATCAGCTCTCAGCCCGAAGCATCAAAAAGGGACTCACTGAGCTTTTTCTCACATTATGCCAAATATAATATGTTAAAAAGATGAAGATGGCATGCTTGGGTCATACTTAATTTTACATTATTATGGAATCACTCACAAATGATCACATTACAGCATTGGCGCTGCGTCAATTCAATTAAACATGAACCCACATTTGAAAGACAATGATGTAGACACATGTCATTGTCTTCTGTGGCAGGATAGAACCAGGGTTGGTAGAGAAGTATAGAGCCAAGCAAGGCTGGTGGGAACAGGCAATTTATCTCATCCTGATCCGATTTGGCCCACCCATTGTCCAAGCATGAAAAACAGTCATTTAGGCTCAGTCCTGGTATAGGCTTGGTTTATTTTCTGTTGTTACTCCTGTTTTCCTCAGGTTAATACTAATTAGTTATTTTCAATTGTGGTTTAAATATCGTTTGTTCCAACTGAGGGAGCGTTCACACTTATTTGTTTTGTGGTTCACTTCAGAAGCAAATGGACCACACCTCATGACCTCACTGAACAGTTTCAAAGTATCAAACCAAGTCTAAACCAGGATTTTTACTCTCGTTCTCCCAATAAAAACATAATAATAATAATAATTAAAGATATGAGACATTTGCGTTTGTATTAAAAGGTCCAAAGTGCAGCAGAGTCCACTTCTTCTCCACTTTTTTCCTTTTCTTTTCTTCTTTAAAATCTTGCGCATTAAGCAATTGAATAAAATCATTACTGGAACATGTCAATAGAAAAATCTGGTCCTCTGGATATTTCAAATAGAATTTCCTCGATCTCATTGTAGACACAGTCAAATCAAGAGATGTGAATACAGAAGACAATGACATGTGTCTACATCATTGTCTTTCATATGTTTCAGATTCACTGACTGCATAATGATAATAGACACATGTCAGATTAAAGCAGAAGCAGATCATCAATTTGACAGTATATAGTAAGTAAGTAAGTAATGTTTATTTATATACCGCCTTTCACAGACAAGGGTCACAAAGCGGTTTACAATTGTTTTTTTATTTATTTTATATATTTTTTTTTGGGCATTTGTCCTCTCACTCCTCACAGAGATGGGAGCGGGGT